TTGCCAATAACTGGCCACAATTCTGCTGGCCACATCTTGATGAAGGTCTTGACAAGGTCTGTGCTATAATTAACTGTGATATGCCTGTGTCTCCTGGACAGAAGGCAGGCACACTCCCAGCACACCAGGAAATGGAAAGCCTTCATGGCAAGAAAATGCATACTAACTTCCAGGCCACAAAGCACCTCCAGAAGATACACACTGCATAGCTGAATGATACCATGGTTGCACAGCAGCTGTCAGATGCCCTTGATCTAGAGTTCAAGGACAAGTGATACACATTGGATCTGATGACTCAGGCCATGAAGCTCTTCACCATTAACAACCCATCCTCAACTGGTGAACTTGATGGTACTGTCGTCCAGAGTTAAGAAGGCTGTAATGGCAAATCCAAGCTTGGCAATCACAAGCTCAGAGCTAAGTTTGGTCATTCTTGGATATATAATAAGTAGATTGTTATTCATCTGTGTGGGATAATTGTAGCATGTGCCACCATGGTTGCAGCTGAGGCTATCTCCAATGTCCTTGTGAGTCAAATTGTTTCATTCATTGAAGGTACATGACTATGACTTAACTCATCTCATAGCATATGGTCAAGATTATGTTTTCTCTCTCTGGTGCCCAGAAGCCTGAGCACATCATGTATGACAGCAATTGTAATGCCCTTCATGAAGTCTAGAGTCACAATGACACTTGGTTTGACAATGTTGGCATGTGTGTTAATGCATTCCATTTTCAAACCAAGCACAAAGAGGGCAATGAATTCTGCCAGACACAATGCAATCCTGCATATTATCCAGAGCTTTTTAATGCTGATGGCTCATGGTTTTTCAACTCCTCCATTGTGGAACAGGTGAACATTTGGTTAGGTAGCTATCATAACATCATGCATGAGATGCTTCCTGACAAGTATGATTTTTTCTGAATGAGATGGTGATGTGTCACAACCATGCGCTCATTAATACCATGGAGGATTGCAGTCAATTCTCTTGGTATTCCCCCACAGATGTATAGATCTATGTATCACACACTCAATTTGTACTATGATGTGCATATGTTCATGAATGTAATCTAGTATTTCTAGACTCCACCCTAAATGAAGTACAAAGGCTGATTACATGTCTCTTTCCTTAATTTTACAATCTCTTTCTTGACTTTGACCTCCTCACCACCATTTCAGGTATGTCCATTCATTCCAGTAACCCAGTAAGACTTGCTCCCTTGTTACATTATGACAGTAGCTGACAACTTGAATCATAATCTCAGCACATACCTACCAATCATTTCTCTGTTCTGATGTTCAGCTTCTCAACTACTTGCATCTCTCATCATGTCTTACATATTACTAAACTCTCTATTCATCAAGTGTGGTGTCTACTACCTAAGATGCTATCCCTCACAAGCACCTGAAGTTGAAGCTCTTGAACATGAGCTTGCCATTGCAGCTGAGAACATGGTCACAACAATTGGCTGGTCTACAGTGTGTGACAGTCATAAAGTAATGGATATGCCACTCCACTCATTATTAGGATGGAGAACTGTCAGCCATCTGCAAGTTTCAGACTGGGTTCATGTTGTCATGCATTAGAGTCACTGCAGACTAGCTTGGGTATGCAGACAATAGCTGCTACTATTACAACACCACACATGAATGCTAGAGAAAGATTATTGTGGGCCATGTTCTCACCCCAACTCAGCCTTACATCTACCTCAAGAATCTCAACATAAAAGTTGTGCTTGATTTTGACATCTATGTTGACCAATAACCACAAAAACAAAGGCTCACCCTACCTTGCTATAACCACCATCAGTGATACATTAAGCAAGAGGTATCTCTGGGTGTCATCAGCATTTCATTGGATTCAGACACAGGTGACAGTGAGATGAATTCTCGTGGCTTATCATTCAACTATCCCATTGAGGTGGAGTCTTGGATATGGCAGCCAGTACCAAGAACACAACCACATAGACAGTCTTAACATTTACCTTATTTCACCTTCTCATTTTACCTCAGTTTCACTTTACATTTGCCTTATACCACAGCATGGCATGTAATATTCAATATATTCTCAACAGTTCATATAGATTTGTATATTTGTCTAGAACAATGTTGCATATTGTAATATGCTAAGCACAATTCCACCATAGATGCATCACCATTGCCAGAATTACTCTCAAAGTAAGCCTACCATTTTCTCAGACATAAAGCTCACCATATATTACCTCTTCCAATACTCATTGGTGTAGTCCACTTCCAAAGTGCCCTTACTGATGAACTTGCTCTCCTTGACATACAGCTCCTTGTATAACCCATGAATGTCCATCCAAGTCATCTTGACATTGTATATTGGTGATCCAGTTGCTACCCTGGACCTCTCAACCCTTTTCATCATATCACACTATGATAAGGTTTGTCCTTATGGTGCACTGTCCTTGCTGTTGCACTTATGTTCATGATGTCATTATGCATATCTATGGTGCACTTCCAGCCAGAGGTCCAAGAGCCTCTGTTCATGGATGAGCTTGATGAAGATTTAGGAGTCCTAGTTCAGGACCTGCATGAGCTAAGCAAGTTCTTCCAGAAGACAAAGTCTTAGATGCAACTCCTACTAAGTCAGCAGCTGGAAGATAGAGTCACATCCATCCTAGCTAGATCTACAGACCACTTCAATGACATGCCTCAGACTCTATTTGAAGATGTATTCCAGGTCAGATAATGAACACCATCATATTTCATGTGGGTAAAACCACTGGTGACAGGTAATGATAACAATACAAGAACAATACAAGGGAGGTATATGAGATGGACTCAGAATTATTCAACAGTGAAATACTATATGAAGAAGGGAATGAAAACAATTTATGGTGCTACCACTTGAGGGGAACTTGGGCAGCCAGCTTGCTCCAACAGCTAGCATCAGTGCATCCAGCAGCCTTGGCATCTTTGAGTAAGCCCACTTTAGATGCACAAAGCCAGTGCTTTTGCATCATGGTAGGTGGAGGCTGCAAATGGCACATGGAAAACCGCTTCAAAGCAATCTTCCAAACATTGGTACTGTTCCTTCATCTCCACACTTTCAACCTAGTACAAGCCTTCAGACATATCAATAGTGTATATGAATGTTGGCCACCATGTGAAAGTTGATGCACATTTGGCAGTGCTCTTGACAGTGCTTGGGACCTGCAATGGAGCATGTTGAGCTTGGTTAGATGAAAAGGCAAGACATGGAACCTTCAATGGCAAAGGGCAACTGAAGTCTTCATTGTCAGTATTGTGATGGTGGAACCTCTTTAGTTGGACCAGTGATGTGATACTAGAACTAAGGTCCAAATCAGAATCATCAAGTGGCATTTGACTTGGAGTAAAGCTCAGGCTGGAGGCTAGCAAGGGAACAGATGAGTATCAGTTGCATGAGATGACAAGACTTAAAACACCATCAGCAATATCAATCTTAGTGTAGAGATTTCACTTACTATGGGCTTATATAGGCAGATATTACTCAGTGTTATGTTCGCACTTTTGGTGCTTATGTAATCATCATAGTTTTTACCACTTACCAGTACCAGTCTGACACTGAGAGTTTTTATCATGATTTCCTATCCTCTCTGAACCCCAGTGAAAATCAGGTGGATGCCCTTGCACAAAGAATGGTGGAAATTGATGGAATCTAAATAGTTGGATGTCCATATATGAGCATCGACACATGGCGTGTTCCATTGATACTCAGACAACTGGTAGTGATGCTAATTGACACCAGTATACAAAACATGGAGTAGTTATATTTCTGTAGATTTGAATAGATGTTGCTTCTCAGATTGTATTGACACAAAATGATGGAAAGCAATGCATTTAGACTGCAACAAAGCAACAAAAAAACACTATAAAAATAGGCTACCCACCCACTCACTCACACCAGCTCCTTCATCCTACTACCTACCCCTGCTGATGATGCCCAGTGCCTAGCTAATGCAACATGCCACTGGAGAATTTTGCAAGAACATTGACCATGTTCACAGTCCACACACTGTTGGCAACCTAAACAAAAGACACAAATAAGTACACAGCAGGAATAGGATTGGTACTTACCTGATTCAAAGCCTCAATGTCATAGCTCTACAGTAGTAGGTATTACAATTAGTAGACTAGAACATAACAAGAAGAATGAAAAAAAATACCACTTGACAGGTCTTCTCAAGTGAGTCCCAATATACCTTAAAGTCTTGCAAGAATCCATTGGGCATTAGCTGCTTCAGCTAGCAATGAGCACAAAGATTTTGAAGGAAAATGTCAAGTTATCAGAAAATAGAACATGGAACCACACTCACCTGCCATTCTTGGTATTGGTAGTGTTCATAGGCACAGCTGTAGTATCCTTCAAGTTTGAAGTGGTGGGAATGGGAACACTGGTAGGAGTCATGTGCACCTAGGCTTTAGATAGTAGCTGTTGGAAGGCAGTAGGTGAGATGTGGTGTCTATACAAAAACAGTGTGCACTGTACATGCCAATAAGGAGTAAGACTAACATGCACAGGTAATTATACATCTATGTATATTTGGCCAGGCAAGGTTTCATACCTAGGTGATTTCAAAGTCTGCCACCTGGCCATTTTTTTGCTGCCAGATTGCAGATATCTCTGCCATAGTGCCATACTCTGTGCCAGATGTTTTTGTGCCAGAGGGGCAGTTTCAGTGAGCTTTTCCAAAGGATGGTAGGCATCAGCAAAATACCATGTTACTTAAGTGTCTCTGTCAAAGTCAGTCTACTTGGCCAAAATTTCAACTTTAACATGTTGAGAAAAAAATTGTTGGGATTCAATTAAGCTGATTAAGGCAGCTTAAGTAATGTGGTATTACAGCTGTTTGCATGTATGATGGCAGTCACATCATTTTTTTGTTCAATTAGGAAACTTAAGACTTAGAATTTTTTGATGACATCTTGAACATTTAAACTCCTATGTATTGCAGTGCAACAAAAACCAGCACATAACCAACTGGCTCTCATGCTTGAGGAGGACCTAGATAGCAGCTTCAACAAGGAGGATCTGCATGTTTGCAATCCTAGTACCATCCTTGATGCCCTTGACCAGATGAAGGTGAACAATGACCCTGAGGCTGATGACACTGAGAGTCATGAGTTAGATGAACTCAATGTAGCTGCTACACCCAATCAACCACAAAGGATCTCTACACCTCCTCTAACAGTTGTAAAGAAGCAAAAATGAGGTATGTTTGTGTAATTTCACACATATACTCAGGCTCAGGGTCTTTCATTGATCATTGTGTCAGGTACCATTGCTAATCATGATCTAGCCCCAGTGATGAAGGAGGTCTCCTACCTTATCACTGTGTTCTCTGCTGCCAAAATGAAGAAAGCAAAGACCAAATGTGAGCCTATCAGTGCTTCTGTTGACCTGAACTCCAATGAACCCTGGGACACTCTCAAGGCCCAGGTCCTTGTGAAGATGTCCAACACAATCAAGCCCCATGTCCTCAACTTCAACAACTATGCCCTTACACACTAGATCCCCCAAGTCCTCCCAAAACCTGGATTATCACTTGTAACACAGACTGATTTTGATGGTATGATGAAGTGCATGAATGGAATAAATGTTGTCACTCCACTTGTCAACATTACCATTGTCCAGGGCCAAGTTCAGGGAGCAAACACTGGCATGGTGAAAACAAGGACAATGCAGAACATGTGCCAACAAAGAATAAGAAATGAGTGAATTTTAGAGTGTTCTTGGTACATTTCTTACTGACCATGTCCTCCATAGAAAGAATCCTCTGCTGCCCTTCCTGGAAACAAGAGGAAGTTGAACAACATTCAAATTCTTCAAGCTTACTGGAAGTGCAAGAGGACAGATTCAGCATGCCCTCTGAACACTGCTATGTCAACCCAGAAACCAAAGAACACCTCCCACTCAGACATGAGCAATTTGACTGTTGGGCATCTGCAATAGCAAGTTATTTTCCAAGGACATTTGTACTAATTGATTGATGTGTGTAGCTCAAGGATGATGAGATGGCAACTGTCAATAAGTCACCACATCACAAGCTTTTTGATCTCATGCTTGAGCAATCAGTCCTGTACTACAGTAGCGGCTCAACAACCAAAACACTAAATCATCTTCATTGTCTGCTCCAGTTTTCAACTTCACTATCAGAAATGAAGTCATCAATTTTTTTTGCCCACAGGTGCCTGCTATTCCCATGATGCCACTGGCAGCCACTCTGGCCCTACTTGTACCTCTCTCCCTCATCTGTCTCATATGCAAGGAATGGATATGCCACTGAACAAGTTCTGTGCAGAATATGACCTAGGCAACACTATACATGTGAAGTTTGCCCAGAATGCCTACAAGGTGGCTCAATTCCTTTGCTTCATAACCATCCCAGAATTGAAGAAGATGGGATTTCAGTTGGGTGAGATCACTGTATTACACAATGTGGTGGAAAGGTGGTCTCTCCCCTGTATTTGATGTTTTATTCATAGGACTTTGACCTGCTCACAACAACATTGCCAATACCATGTATACTATACAGACTGTTTCATAGTCTAGAAATACCCTGCATATATGAAATATCCATGTGCATCATCAGAAGATATGGTCTCTGTAACCTCATACATATCAAAGATGATACTATCACCTGTAGTGGAGAGATAATATTGTTGGTGATGACAGAGTCAGTGCTTGATTTTTGAGAATGCCTCTTCAATATGTTATGAACTTGGATAGAGTTGTTCCAATAAAGGAATCAAAGATCAGGGCCAACTAAGGATAGAACCTTATCGGGTCAATGCCTCCCTCAGGAGCAATCATCTAGACTCCTGCAGGATCTAGAGTTCAAATGGGGCACAGGCTAACCTCCTTCCCAAGGAGCTAGAGTTCAAGTATCAAAGAGAACTGAGTAGATTCAAGTTAGAGAAAAGTACAAGTAGTTACTAGAGTTTATATACATAAAGGAATCATGCACAGACCAAGCTTGGCAAAGGGTGACAATCTGCTGGGAAAGGAAGGTTCATGGGAAAATGTAGTATGAGTCAAAGATAAGAAGGTAACATGAGGAAATAGCAAGGTGAAAAGGAAGTGTTAGAAGTATAGCCATAAGGTGTCCATAGTGATGGTGAGAAAAAGAATAGAGTGACTGTAACAATAGGGTTGAGATTGGATGAGTATGGTGGTAGATACTTGATATGCACACCTGTGAACACAAAATAACGAAAGACACAAGATATTAGTGAGTGAACATACCAAAATGGTCAACTAGCTTGAGAACTTCTGCACCATGATAAATTTTGATATTGTCCATGACAAGGACACTGAGAGGACCAGGGTAGGCTGAACATTTCAGTAGCTGGTTAAATGTTTCTATTAGCTCTCAGTAATCATCCATGGGACTTACAACAATGTTCTCAAGCCACTCCAAGAACAACTCTTGAGTCTTTGAGCCTTCAACAACTGTTGTAGCAACAATCCCATCTAGTGTGAGAAGAGCTTCTGTTGATGTTTGTTGTCCCTGCACAAATACTTGGTCTATCTCTCTATGTTTGCCTGTCTTTGCTTGTCCATGGTGCCTACCAGGCATCCATTCATCCTTCAACGTCTCATCAATGAATCCTAGCTCTGATGCTTCATATTGAGCCATGCATGCAATGAACTCAGCATGACAAGTCTCATTGCATTCTGAGGCAATCCACTTGAGTGTCTTGTAGCTTATACTAGCACACTCAAGCTCACAGAATATTGTTGTAAAGTGGACAGATATGAATCGATTTTTTTTCAGGAGGTGCATGAACTCATCCAAAAAGTAGTTGGGATTCTGTCTGACAAGACACAGCAAGCAATCAATATCCTTGTGATCCAACACATGCAGATGACCATGGAGTGCTCTGTAAGGCTGAGGGTTGACAACATCACCAGTTTTCTGCCAGAGCTTCAAAATGTGAAACCAAGTCCATTCCAAAAATCAAGCCCCTTCAGTGACAAACTCTGTATTATATGGGTCACCCAACCTACATAATATCCCATATAAGACGGGCCAGCGGACTATGGGCCAATGTTATGTATATCCTCAATGTTGATAGGTGGGCTGATCTATGCTGATGTTATAAATATCCTCGACAATGGCGGATGGGCCAGAAGAAATATTATTACTGATGGAGATAGGTGGGCCCATCTGGGCAATATGTAGAGTGCTGGGCTGAAGAGAGATGTATGGCAGATATTATTATATAGATGGGTGGGCCAATGGGGCAGTGAAATATGTATTATATATATGGGTGAGTTGAGATGGGGGTATATTAGATAGATGGGTGGGATAATAGGGTGGTGAAATATGTATTATATATATGGGTGGGCTGATGAGGTGGTGAAATATTTATTATATATATGGGTGGGCCAAGGTGGGGGTATATTAGATAGACAGCTGGGCTGAAGAGAGATGTATGGCAGATATTATCATATAGATGGGTGGGCTGATGTAGGGTATATTACATAGACAGGTGGGCTGACATAGGGGGATGTCATATAGATGGGTGGGCCCAGATACATATCATGTAGATGTATGGGCCAAGGTATTGGTATAATACCCCTATATGGGTGCATATACCTACCATTGACCATGGAAACCCAAAACCCGAAAGCCTGAATACACCATGTCTGACATTCACCAAGTACTGAAACCTGACACCCAAAACCCGAAACTCGAACATTGAAATTCAAAACTCTTCACCATGCCAAGTACCAAATGCCAATGCCTGAAGTTGCATGTTGGGTGGGTCCAGGTAAATAGTGCAATAAACATAACTGGGCTGAGATAGTTGGATAACATAGGAATCAGTGTGCTGATGTAGGCACCAGAGAATCGAGCACATGGAGGACATACCCACTATATGAGTGCATATACCTACCATTGACCACCAAAGCCCAAAGCCTGAAAACCTGAATACACCATATCTGACATTCACCAATCACCGAGTACTGAAGCCTGAAAACCTGAAAACTGAAACCCAGTGTGCAACATATCCATTTTTCATTCACCATAAATCACCAAGTCTTGAAACCTGAACACCTGAACACCCAAACACCCAAAACTCCAAACTTGAATCTCACAAAAATGTATATAACATGTAAAAAATTTATTCCATTACACAAATCACTGAGTGTCGAGTGCTGAAACCCAAAACCTGAGGCCCAAAACCTGAAGCCCAAAACTCAAGACTTGAAACCTGAGATGTGAAAACCAAAAACCAAACACCAAATCTTGAAAAAATGTATATAACATGAAATTATTTTATTCCATTACACAAATCACTGAGTGTGGAGTGCTGAAACCCAAAACCTGAGGCCCAAAACCCAAAACTCAAGACTTGAAACCTGAGATGTGAAAACCAAAAACCAAACACCAAATCTTGAAAAAATGCATATAACATGAATTTTTTTATTTCATTGCACAATTCACTGAGTGTTGATTGCCAAACCCTGAAACCCAAACTCTGAAACTCGAGACTTGACACCTGAAATTTGAAAACTAAAAACCAAACACCAAATCTCAAAAAAATGTATATAACATGAATTTTTGTTATTTCATTGCACAATTCACTGAGTGTTGAGTGCTGAACCCTGAAACTCGAGACTTGACACCCAAAATTTGACAACTAAAAACTGAAAACTGAAAACCAAAAACCAAACACCAAATCTCAAAAAAATGTACATAACATGAATTTTTTTTATTTCATTACACAATTCACTGAGTGTTGGGACTCAGGACTTGGTAGTCAATATAGGCAAATGATGATGACATAATGAAAGTTGTTATTATGCTTAACTTTCTTAACAAAGGTTGTTGTCCAAGTCAAGGTGAGTGTCTTGGTAGTCTTTCCTTGTCAATTGGTTATCATTTGACCAAGATATAAGCTAAAGAAATCCAAAACATTGGTGATAATGAAAAAATGACAATCATTGTTATGCTTAACTTCCTTAATGAAGGTTGTAGTCCAAGTCTATGTGAGTGTATTGGTGGTCCTACTGAGTGTTGGTACTTGAGACTTGGGAATCAGTACTCGGTACCCAGGAGTCAGTAGTCAGGAACTTGGTACTCAGTTCTGATACTTGGTGCCTGGGAATCAGTAGTGGGGTACTCCAGCCAAACAGTTTGCAGATGATTTTACATGTATTCCCATGAGCCGCAGCACTTGCAGGCATATTACATACATACTTCCAGACCCAGAATTTCAACTAGCATTCCAGATTTCTACGTACTTAGTTAAGTACCGTGCAGATGCATAGGATACCTTACCATTTACCACCTCTCCTTACCTCTCTAGAGTCTTGGTCACTAGATACTCCTGGTACTTTGGTGTACTTTGGAATATATCTTTTCACTCATTTTCCAGACTCATATTTCAGAGACTTTGTCTCCCCTTGCGTATCAGTCCCTCAATAGTCTCTCCTTTGCAAATACCTTTGCTTTTTCTTAGTTTCCAAACCTCATTTTACTGTACCCTTTCCCTTTCCCA